GGGCGGGTCTGCAGGGCCGGGGGAGGGCGGGGTGTCAGGGCTGGGGTGGGCGGGGTCTGCAGGGCTGGGAGGGAGGTGGCTGCAGGGCTGGGCGGGGAGGGCAGGGTCTGCAGGGCCAGGGCTGCGTCTGGCTGTCCAGGACCGAGGGTGGAAGTGTGGCCTGGGGTCCGCGCCTAAGCTGGAGATGGCAGACAGAAAGGACCCCCAGGACAGACGGGACCTCAGGACAGATGGGACCCCGAGGATGCAATGTGGACGGGACCCTGAGGACGGAGTGGGGACAGGACCCCAAGGATGGAGGGGACCCCAGGACGGAGTGGGGACGGGACCCCGAGGATGGAGGGGACCCCAGGACGGAGTGGGGACAGGACCCCGAGGATGGAGTGGGACCCCAGGATGGAGTGGGGACAGGACCCCGAGGATGGAGTGGGAACGGGACCCCAAGGATGGAGGGGACCCCAGGACGGAGTGGGGACAGGACCCCAAGGATGGAGGGGACCCCAGGACGGAGTGGGGACAGGACCCCGAGGATGGAGTGGGAACGGGACCCCGAGGATGGATGGGACCCCAGGATGGACAGAACCCCAGGACGGAGTGGGGACAGGACCCCAAGGATGGAGGGGACCCCAGGACGGAGTGGGGACAGGACCCCGAGGATGGAGTAGGGATGGGACCCCAGGATGGGCGGGACCCCAGGACGGAGTGGGGATGGGACCCCAGGAAGCAGTGCATACGGGATCCAGAGGACGTAGTGCAGGCCGGACCCCAAGGACACAGTGGGGACGGGACCCGAGGGCTCCCGTGGTCAGGACCGACCCACCCCACACAGCACCCTTCCCCTGCTGGGAAAGAAGGCTCTAGAACAATTAGTGTCACTGAGGGCCTGGCGCTGGTGGCTCACGCCTGTAATCCTAGCTACTCAGGAGGCTGAGCTCTGAGGGTCGCAGTTCAAAGCCAGCCCGGGCAGGAGAGACCGTGAGACTCCTATCTCCAATAAACTACCAGAAAACCGGAAGTGGTGCTGTAGCTCAAGTGGTAGAGCGCTCGCCTTGAGCTGAAGAGCTGAGGGACAGCGCCCAGGCCCAGAGTTCAAGCCCCACGACCAACCAAAAAAAAAAAGAACAATTAGTGTCACTGAGGGCCTAAGTTCTGTATTTGCCGCTGCACGGGCCTGTGTTCTGGGCAGATGAAGCCCTTCCTGAGGGCAGTGTCCTCCTGGTGGGGCGGCCAGCCGCCCAGGCACTGCCCTGTGTGAGGCCTGTCCGGGCCCCCTGACCCCTGTTCATTTTGGGGGGCTCAAGGCTCTCAGGGGGGACCCCTGCACATAGGCCAGGACTGCATTTTGCAGGAAGCTCGCCCTCTGGGCCTCCTCTTCCCGAATGCGCATGATCTCCGCCTCCTTGAGCCGGAGCTTCTCCCGGAGGGAGGCATTCTCACTCTCTCGGTCCAGCAGCGCCGCCCGGTGCTCACTGGAGATCGCTGCGGGTGGGCGGGTGAGCAAGCAGGGTGTTGGTGGAGAGGCCCGGCCGGCCTGCCTCCGCCCCGCCCCGCCCCGCCCCGCCCCGGGCAGGCTCACCTTTCAGCTGGCGCTCCAAGGCCATCACCTTCTCCCTCAGCACCTCCTGGGCCACCAGGTCAGCCTGCAGGCGGCCCATCTGCTCCTGCAGCTCCACCCGCACCCTGGTCACCTCTGCCACTTTCTCCTGGTCCTTGTTGTTCAACTCCTGGTGGGCACAGCGGGTGAGACCCTGGCCCTGCCACGGACCCCAGCAGCCCCAGGCCCTTCAGGCTCAACTACCTGCTGCAGCTCCTCCAGGCGCCGCCGCTGCCCCTCGGCCTGCAGGCTGAGCTGGCCGGCCCGGGCCTGCGCCTCGGCCACAGCCTGCTTCTGCTGCAGGCAGGCGCTCTGGGCCTCATCCCTGGCCTGCGCCAGCAGCCGCATCTTCTCCTCCAGGTGTGCCAGGTTCTGTTGCTGTAGGCACAGGGCACAGGGCTGAGTGCTCCCTGGGGACTGGAGGGGCCCTCTGCGTGCGGAGTGACCCTGCCCCTTTCCAGGTGCAGAGGGGGAGTCCCAGTGCCAAACAAGCCCTGACACTGGCCAACTCCCCGCCCCCCTGCCCCCTCCCGGGGTCCTCTGCAGGGCGTGCCTGACAGCTGAAGGCCAGAGCACCACCCTCCACCCGCAGGCCGACTCCAGCCCCACTGGCAGCTCAGTGTCCTCTGCCTCCAGTGGCTAGTCATCTGCTCCGCGGCTGTGCGTACAGGCGGTGGGGGCTCACCTCCTCCAGGCGGGCCTGGCTCCGGGCCTTGATGAGCTCCTCCTCTGCCTGGCTGCGCTCGCTGACCACCGCTGCCTTTGCTTGGCTCAGCTCCTGCACAGCAAGGAGTGACCGCCAGTCTGCAGCCCCGCGCCCCCTTGAGGGTGACCGCCAGCCGCAGCCCCGTGCTCCCACAAGAGTGACCGCCAGCCCGCAGCCCTGCGCCCCCTCGAGGGTGACTGCTAGCCCCAGTTCCGCGCCCCCACGAGAGTGACCGCCAGCCGCAGCCCCGCGCCCCCTCGAGGGTGACTGCTAGCCCCAGCTCCGCGCCCCCACGAGAATGACCGCCAGCCGCAGCCCCGCGCCCCCTCGAGGGTGACTGCTAGCTCCAGCTCCGCGCCCCCATGAGAGTGACCGCCAGCCGCATCCCAGCGCCCCAAGAGTGACCGTCAGCCCCTGCGCCCCAAGAGTGACCACCAGTCTGCAGCCCTGCGCCCCCTTGAGGGTGACTGCCAGCCCCAGCCCTGCACCCCCTCGAGGATAAACGCCAGCCCCAGTCCCGCACCTCCACAAGTGACCACCAGCTGCATCCCTGCGCCCCAAGAGTGACCGCCGGCCACATCCTTGCACCCCAAGAGTGACCACCAGCCCCTGTGCCCCAAGAGTGACCGCCAGTCTGCAGCCCTGCGCACCCTCGAGGGTGACCGCCAGCCCCAGCTCTGTGCCCCCACGAGTGACTGCCAGCTGCATTCCTGCGCCCCTCGAGTGACCGCCAGCCCACAGCCCCGTGCCCAGCGTCCCCTCAAGTGACTGCCAGCCCGCAGCCCCGCGCCTGGCACCCCCTCAAGAGTGACTGCCAGCCCGCAGCTCCGTGCCCAGCACCCCCTTGAGAGTGACCGCCAGCCCACAGCCCCGCGCCCAGCACCCCCTTGAGAGTGACCGCCAGCCCGCAACTCCGTGCCCAGCGTCCCCTCGAGTGACTGCCAGCCCGCAGCCCCGCGCCTGGCACCCCCTCAAGAGTGACCGCCAGCCCGCAGCCCTGTGCCCCCTCTTCTGGGGCACATGGCTGCCCGAGGGCCATTCCCAGTGTGGTTGGCTGCTCGGGGGCGGGCGGGGGCTGGAGCCAGCAGGGGCCGCGCCCCCCAGCCCCGGCCTTGCGGCCTCACCTCCTCCAGAGACAGCCGCAGAGCCTCCAGCCTCTGCACCCTCTCCTGCATGGTTCTCTCACTCTCTTCCAGGTGGCGAGTCATGTGATCTACCTGCCCAGGTACGGGAGTCAGAGGACAGGGCTAGCAGGCCTGGGCCTGCCTCTCCTCATGGAATCCACGTTGTTCCTAGGGCCTGGCAGGGCAGGGCTGGAGGGCACGGCCAGCTCCGGTGCCCCAGGGTGCCTGCCAGCGATGGAGGGAGCTGGAGCGCCTCCCAGGGGAATACACAGCAGCCTGAGACAGCCATTGTGCTGTGTCCCACCAGCCCTGACACCACTAGACCAGAGGCCATGGGGGGACCCCACTAGGGGCAGGGCTCGGGACACCCACCACCCAGGCCAGCCTGCCAGCACAAGGGGGAGACGGGGGAGCCGGGGCATCACGACAATGACACCTCCTTGGCATGCAGTTTCTCCAAGTCCTCCAGGCTCTGTTTGGCTCTTCTCTTCTCCATGTCAAGGCGCTCTGTGGGGAAGAGCCCAGTGAGTCCCTCTGCAGACCTCCACGCCCCTGTTCGGGCCCACCTGTGCCTACCCTCAGCCTGGATGGCGCGCATCTTCAGCTCGGCTGAAGTGTTGGTTAGCTCCTGCCTGGTCAGAAACAGCTGCTCCTGCTGAGACTTCACCTTTCGCTCCAACCCATCCACCTGGATAGCAGGCAGCATGGAAGGACGCTGTGCCCGGGCCGGTCTCCCGCACCCTGGCTCCCAGGAGGAAGCTGTGCCCGGGCCGGTCTCCCGCACCCTGGCTCCCAGGAGGAAGCTGTGCCAGGCTCTGGGTCTCCCGCACCCTGGCTCCCAGGAGGAAGCTGTGCCCGGGCCGGTCTCCCGCACCCTGGCTCCCAGGAGGAAGCTGTGCCCGGGCTCTGGGTCTCCCGCACCCTGGCTCCCAGGAGGAAGCTGTGCCCGGGCTCTGGGTCTCCCGCACCCTGGCTCCCAGGAGGAAGCTGTGCCCGGGCCGGTCTCCCGCACCCTGGCTCCCTGGAGGAAGCTGTGCCCGGGCTCTGGGTCTCCCGCACCCTGGCTCCCAGGAGGAAGCTGTGCCCGGGCCGGTTTCCCGCACCCTGGCTCCCAGGAGGAAGCTGTGCCCGGGCTCTGGGTCTCCAGCACCCTGGCTCCCAGGAGGAAGCTGTGCCCGGCCGGTCTCCCGCACCCTGGCTCCCAGGAGGAAGCTGTGCCCGGGCTCTGGGTCTCCCGCACCCTGGCTCCCAGGAGGAAGCTGTGCCCGGGCTCTGGGTCTCCAGCACCCTGGCTCCCAGGAGGAAGCTGTGCCCGGGCCGGTCTCCCGCACCCTGGCTCCCAGGAGGAAGCTGTGCCCGGGCTCTGGGTCTCCAGCACCCTGGCTCCCAGGAGGAAGCTGTGCCAGGCTCTGGGTCTCCCGCACCCTGGCTCCCAGGAGGAAGCTGTGCCCGGGCCGGTCTCCCGCACCCTGGCTCCCAGAGGAAGCTGTGCCCGGGCTCTGGGTCTCCAGCACCCTGGCTCCCAGGAGGAAGCTGTGCCCGGGCCGGTCTCCCGCACCCTGGCTCCCAGGAGGAAGCTGTGCCCGGGCTCTGGGTCTCCAGCACCCTGGCTCCCAGGAGGAAGCTGTGCCCGGGCCGGTCTCCCGCACCCTGGCTCCCTGGAGGCCCGCAGTCCCATACCTGGTTTCGGAGCATCAGGTTCTTTTCGTTGGCAGCAGACAAGTCTCTGAGGAGCTTAGACTCACGCTCTGCAGCTTCCTGAGGAGGGGGAGGTGAGGCGTCTACGGGCAGCCGCGCCCACCCCTGCTGCCCCTCACCTGCCGCCCCCACCTGCTGCTCCAGCCTGTGCGCCTTCTCCTGCTTCTGCGACAGGCCCTGCTGCGCCTGCTCCGAGGCGGCCAGCCGCTCTCCCAGGTCCTGGACCTTCTGCTCCGACAGAGCCAAGGCCGCCTCGGTCATCTGCAGCCTGCAAAGAAGGCCCACCCGGCTCCGACCAAAGCCCCGCGGCCTTCGCTCCAAGCCGGCCGGGCCGCTGCCTGCCCTGCCTGGCCTCCACCCGCTGGGGCGTCCTCCCCGCTTACTTGGCCTTTAGGGAGTTGACGATGGAGAGCCTCTCGCTCAGCGCCTCCTGAAGCTGCCCCACACGTGCGGCTGCCGCCCTGCGGAGAGACCAGGCTTGGGAGACCAAATCCCAGCACAACCCTGCCCCCACCCCTGGCTCAGCAGCCACGGGCACCCCAACACACCTGCGCCCCCACGCAAGGACACACTGCAGCATCTGTGCCACAGCATCCTGGTTCCAGGGCTGAGGATGGAGGGGCTCGGCTCCTCCACCCAGACCCCCGGGCCCCAGCCACACTAGTCTCTCCTCCTGTCACCCTGCGTCTGGCCACTTACCGGCTGCTCTTGGCCATCTCTTCCCTCTGCTTATCAATCGTCTCCATCAAGCTGAGATACTGAAGACAGAGCTGGTCAGCAGTCAGGGCTGGGCCCGCTCCCCTGCCCTGGTCAGGGGAGGAGCAGAGACCCACCGGGGCAGCCAGGAGGAGGCCTGGAGGCTGGACTGTGGCTGAGGGAAGCGGGACGGGGGGTGCCCCAAGAGTGACGGCGGCTGACCTCCGCAGCAGCCAGGACGCCCAGAATGCTCCAGAGCACCGTGGCACTTCGCTCACCTGCCTGGACTTCTCCTCCTGGAGGTGCTGGACTTCCTTGCTGAGGACGTGGGTGCGGGCCGTATTCTCCTGGAAGGCCGTGCGCCGGTCCTGGTTGTGGTCCATGGCTTGCTCTGCCAGAAGAAACAGTGTTGGCCACAGGCTGAGGGTGCTCAAGCTCAGGAGGGTCAGAGGTCACACAGGCTGAGGGTGCTCAAGCTCAGGAGGGTCAGAGGTCACACAGGCTGAGGGTGCTCAAGCTCAGGAGGGTCAGAGGTCACACAGGCTGAGGGTGCTCAAGCTCAGGAGGGTCAGAGGTCACACAGGCTGAGGGTGCTCAAGCTCAGGAGGGTCAGAGGTCACACAGGCTGAGGGTGCTCAAGCTCAGGAGGGTCAGGGTCAGAGGGCTCAGCTCTGCACCGCCTCCCTGGAAGCCAGTCACTGGGGACCCTGGGGGAGCCAGCCCCCGGGGGGCAGGGGGGGAAGCATTTCTGTGGGGCCAAGCGGAACATCACGGCAGAGCAGCTTTTGTTTTCTGCACAGGTGGAGAAGCGATTCCTCAAGAGGAAGGCACTAGCCTGGGAGAGATATGACCTGGGCACCGGTGGCTCACGCCTGTAATCCTAGCTACCCAGGAGGCTGAGACCTGAGAATTGTGGTTTGAAGCCAGCCTCTGCAAAAACTGTAAGACTCAGATTTCCAGCTTGGTGCCAGTGGCTTACACTTGCAATCCCAGCTACTCAGGAGGAAGATCGGAGGATCACAGTTCAAAGCCAGCCCAGGCAGGAAAGTCCACGAGACTTTCTTTTCTTTGTCGGTTGTAAGGCTTGAACTCTGGGCCTGGGCGCTGTCCCTCAGCTCTTCAGCTCAAGGCCAATGCTCTATCATTTGAGCCACAGGGTGACTTCGGGTTTTCTGGTGATTAAGTGGAAATAAGAGTCTCATGGACTTTCCTGCCTGTGCTGGCTTTGAACCACAATCCTCAGATCTCAGCCTCCTGAGTAGCTAGGATTACAGGCGTGAGCCACTGGCACCTGGCTCTTCATGAGACTCTCTCTCTCTCTCTTTTTTTTTTTTTTGGTCGGTCGTGGGGCTTGAACTCTGGGCTTGGGTGCTGTCCCTCAGCTCTTCAGCTCAAGGCGAGCGCTCTACCACTTGAGCCTCAGCGCCACTTCCGGTTTTCTAGTGGTTTATTGGAGATAAGAGTCTCACAGACTTTCCTGCCCTGGCTGGCTTTGAGCTGCGATCCTCAGATCTCAGCCTCCTGAGTAACTAGGATTACAGGCATGAGCCACCCGGCCCCTGGCTTCATGAGACTCTTATCTCCAACTAATCACCAAAAAACTGAAGTGGCACTGTGGCTCAAGTTATAGAGTGCTTACTTTGAACTGAAAAGCTCAGGGACAGTGCCTAGGTTGAGTTCAAGCCCCATGACCAACACCCCCCCTCAAAAAAAAAAAGCTGGAAGTGGAGTTTTGACTCACATGGTAGAGTGCTAGCCTTGAGCAAAAAGCTCAAGGGGTATCAACCAGGCCCTGAGTTCAGCCTCATGGAAACCGCCCCCCCTCCAAAAAAAAAAACCCTTTAATGTTCAATTAACCAAAAAGCTAGAACTGGTAGAGTGCTAGCCTTGAATAAAAAGGCTAAGGGATAGTGCCCAGGCCCTGAGTTCAAGGCCCAGCACAGAGACACAGCAGACACATGGTAGACACACACACACACACAGTTATGGCAGTTATCACAGTACAGAATCAGGGTGTAACAGTGAGGAGTTAGAGACTGCAGAGGGGTGGGTAGGGCAGGGCCAGGGGAGGTAGTGACCCTGTAGCACAGGGTGTGGGGCGGGGCCTGGAGTGTATGACTCCAGGCCGATCCAGAAGTTTTAGTAGCTGGTACTGTGTGATGGAGGAGGAGCAGGAAGAGTGGCTCTGCTGAGCCCGAGGCCAAGATGTCTCTCACAGGGACCAGAGATCTGAGCCAAGGTGTCACTCACGGGGACCAGAGACCTGAGCTCTGGTGTTGTTCAGGGGTGGCAGAGCAAATACCGGGAACTCCTCTCAAGTTGTGATGTGGCCTCCGGGGTCAGTGGCATTGGAAGGGTGTACGCCCCGGGGCCTACCCCTTCCCACCAGCGAGATGACCAGTTACACATCCCAAGAGCCAAGGGTGCATTCAGGGAGCCCCTGGAGCAGGTGCACAGTGAGCCCTAAGCCAGGCTGTGGCCAGCTGGCCGCCTGCCGCCCTCCTCTCAGCTCTTAGCCTAGGCTAGCTACTCACACTCCCCTTTGGTGGCTTTTTTGTCCACGTGAACCACAGCGCCACTTCTGACTTATCACAGAAGGTGACTCTCATGGACTTCTCTGCCTGTGCTGGCGGCTTCAGACAGACCTCAGATCTGGGACTCCCTGGCCAAAGGTGCCTGGCTGGCCCCTCTCATCTGTTTGGGGCTCTGAGCCACCCCCTTGCCTTGGCCTCTGTCAGAAAGCTTCATGTTTCACTCCAAACTGAGCAGCTGTCAGCACTGTGCCGTCCGTACCCACGGCTCTCAGAACGTCTCCGGGGATGTTGTTCCCAGCCAGGTCCAGGCGGCACAGGGCTCTGTTGCTGGGGAGACAGCTCACCAGGGCCCGGCCCCCCAGGAGGCCGATGTTATTCCAGCGCAGGTCTGGAAGGAAACCCCTTGTCACTAGGTGGCCAGCACCAGTGACCCGGCAGCCCCAGCGGCGTGGCAGGGATTGGGGTCTAGCCTAGGACTCTTCCCTTCTGGGGCACCATCTGTGGCTGCTGGCAAAGCAGGAGCCCAGGCCAGATTTTCCAGCAGCAGAGCAATGAAAGGGCAGTGGGATGGAGCGCGGGGCCCGTGATGGATGCAGAGTGCAGTGGGCCTCACCTAACTGCTGGAGGGTGGTGTTGCCCCTCAGGGCCAGGGCTAGCTCCTCCGCCCCCCTGTGACTGATCTGGTTGTTGCGGAGGTCAAGCTGCCGTAGGGCACTGTTGGCGGCCAGGCCCCCACAGAAGATGGCGAAGGCATCTTCCCCCGTGCCCAGGCTGTTCCATTCCAGGGTGAGGCTACAGGAGGAGTGGACACAAGGCATCTCTTGAGGCCCAGGGGCTGCAGGGAACTGCAGGCTCAAGGGTCTCTGGAAGAGGTGGAACTTCCTTGAGTGATTTACTGCCTACTCCTCACCAACAGGTGTGGAACATGACACTGGGTCTGAAGGAGGGAATGGGTTCCAGGACCACGTCCTGGGAGGCCAACGCTGAGCCACACACACAGAGGTGGCTGGGAGGTGCAGGAAGGGAGGGGACGGCGGCCCTACCTCTGGATGGACTGGTTCTGACGGAGGAGTTTCCCCAGAGCCTCGGCCCCTGCAGCTCGAAGGTTATTGCCCTAGGGTAGAACGCCTGGCTGGTCACTCAGTGTGGCCTTGGCTGGGCTTTAAAGACCACATCCAAGACCACATCCAAGACCACAGGGTCTGGTCAGGCAAGGGGCAGAGCTGGTTTTCCTGGGACTTTTGCCCTCACACTGGATTCTCAGAGCAGGGCCGAGGGTCTGGGCGTCAACCTGTAGGGACACCCTGCTCCCGCACCTCCCGCTCTACCGCCCAGGCAGGCCTGCTCACCTTCAGATCCAGAACCTGCACCACAGAGTTAGCACAGAGCCCTTGGAACAGCAGGACGGCCCCTGCATAAGGGGAAGGAGGTCACTGGCCGGCTCGGAGCCCCGGGCCGGCCCAGGGCAGAGGCGGGAGGAGCGGCCGCTCCGCGGGAAGTGCCCGTGCAGCCTGTCAGGCCAGGGCGTGTGGAACCGCACAATCGGGGTGCGCTAAGGCTTTCCCGCCGTGACGGGGGGGCCCGTGGCGGATGCATAGTGCAGTGGGCCTCCCTGCTGCCCACCTTCCTCGCTCAGCATGCAGTCGCTGAGGACCAGCTCGGTGCACACGGTCTGGCCGGGCAGCAGCGCGCCCAGCGCGCCGCACGTGTCGGCCGTCAGGCTGTGCGCG